AACCATTAACCAAGTAAAAGGATGGGAGGGTGATTTAAGGGCCCAGTTCCCCCAAGTTTTCCAAAACCGGGTAACTAAAGGCCCGTTTTCTTTTGCCAAGAAGTTCAAGGGTGGAGTTCCCAGAAACTTCGGCATACTTTCTGTGAGGACTGTTCTGCTAATAATCTGTATTTTCATTTTCCAGCCCATAAGCCCTCAGTTCAAGCCTAAGAGGTTGTGGTCAGGGAGAGAACAGGTTTTTCTAGGCATAAAAAACAGCCTGGTCAGCATGGGCTCAGTGGTTGAGCATCAACCCATGAACCAGGAGGTCATAATTCGATTCCTGGTCAGGGCACATGCCCATGTTGAAAGCTCGATCCCAAGTGTAGGGTGTGCAAGAAGGCAGCCAATCGACGATTCTCTCTCATCATTGATGTTTCTATCTCTCTCTCCTTCTCACTTTCTCTCTGAAATCAATAAAAATATATTTTTTAAAAAATGAAAAACCAGACTTAAAAATTCAACATTTGAGTAGTTGCCTTTTCTAGGGATACAGTTAGAATACAAGTAATAACAAAACCGAATTTCTTAGGTCATGCCCAAATAAACCAGGAAGCGCATACATTTAGAAATGGTGCTGAGGTGTCTGGTTCCAAGCAATGATTGTTTCCTAAGGTTCCATTTGCACGTATGATGGATGTTGGGTCCATGTCACACACATTACTTTTACTCTATACTAATACTCTTGTTACTGTGAACATGACACTCTGGAGAAGCATTTGAATAAGAATAATTAAGTACTAATATATATTTCCTTGTTACCATTTTTCTGTTCCTTGAGTATTTAAATCAGAAAAGAAAAAAAATGACTGTATCACTTAGCATTAAATACTTAACACACTAGAGTTGGGGCTCAATCTGATATCGGCAATATGTTGCAAATATTGAAAGCAAATATATGTTGTCATGCAGGATGAATGCCATCATTTGGAAAACATTTCCCAGTAATGCTATCATTATGTATGTTTTGGAATGGACTTTTCCCCCCAAAGGATACATATCCCAGTAGAACCATGTTGAATCACACGTATACATACATACACTCTCATCCATGCAATCAGATTCTCACTGGGGGGAGATATTTTCTTCCAGAAAGAGCAATTTAAATACAAGTAGTTGACTAAACAAATGTAAAAGAGCTCCAAAATAGCAAATAATCCCATACTAATACTTTTAATCTTTCACAGCTTCTTTCTGTTTTGCTTAAATTAATACATTCACTATTTGGTGTAAATTTTTCCAGACCAAGTCAGATATACCTTCTTACTTATAAAGCAAGATTATCACCTTGTCTCCCCCTGAAAAGATTCTACTGTATCATGTGTTCCATCTTGAACACATCCCAGTCATGACTCAGGGGCACACTGGAAGTTGGTGGATTGTACACTGGTAACATAATTCTTGTGGATAGAACTGAGAAGTGACTTTGTTTCAAGGAATGTATTTCATCCTGTTTTATATATATAATTGAATCTAAGTGAAGGATATTCCTTGGTCAAAGATAAAAGGGCCTTCTTCTCCAAAAGATACTTGGCATATCTGAAAGTCAGGTGGAATGTTTGGTGTATTCAGGTTAAATCATCCCTGATGACCTCACCTCTCAGGATCCAACATTAACTGCTGAGATGTGCAGGGCTGCCTTAAGGGCAGTGCATACCCTTATTTTTTAAAAATGTATTTATTGATTTAAGAGAGAGAGAGCGAGCTAGAAATATCAATGATGAGAGAGAATCATTGATTGCCTCCTGCACGCCCCACACTGGGGATCGAGCCCACAACCCAGCATGCACTGACTGGGAATCAAACCACAATTCCTGGTTCGTAGGTCAACGCTCAACCACTGAGCCACACTCGATTATTTTCCAACAATTTCATTAACTGTTTACCGGCAACTTAAATATGGAGTGTCCTTTGTTATGATCATGTTTTCAGAACCTGAGTCAAACCAGTTATGTACTTAGGAAGGCTACAAGACATTATCTGAAATGATTCCTCCTAAGTAAAGGACATTAATTTAGGTTATATGAATAGAAAGTTGAGTCCATCAATTATCTTCAGATCTCATTTTATTACAACCTCCAATGTGTTCTACCCAATGCAGCACTTACAACAGCAAATATCAGATTTGGATTTTGTCCTGTCCCCTGATTGGCCAAATGCAGATAACAGGTGGGAAAAGGAGCCAGAATGAACCCATAAAAATAAATTGAGCAAATCAGCTGTAGCAAGAGCTAATGAACTTTATATAGAAAAAGGACTCTGCTGATTATGTGAAATGCTTACATTAATTACCAAACATTACTATTTAAATCCAATAGCTGTGAGATGAGAGCATTAGAACCAATAACTCCAGTCAAAGAATGAAGTATGTAGAAAGAGGCACTTTTAATCTAAAGGAAGAAAGAAATGGAAGACTGATAGGAAAAAAATAAATTCCTTTTTGTAAGGGTCCATCTATATTATAATACTAGAATAATCAGGAATAACCAAGTTATTCCAGACTCTTTAACAGAAAAGATTGTACTTGAGCTTCCTTTTTTCCTGGGAAAGGAGGCAACAAGCTAATCTTAAAATATCAAAACGTTGTTCTACTAGTAAATAGTACATTAGTAAACCAGTTTCTTCTAATGGGTGCAAAAACACACCCATGTGGGCAATACCACTATAAAATGTCCCCTCAGGATAGGTGAGAATAGGGCAAGAATCACCTTGAGCCAGCAGCTAACTGATTAAAGGCCTTGCAAATATACCTGAGAACAATTCCAACCTGAGCATAAAGCTGCTTGGCTAGGGATCTTGTAGTGTAAACATAGTTCACAGGTGGAGGACCCTGGTGACAAGCTAGGTAGAGGTTAGTTTTGTGTAAAGAAAAAAGACAGGATATATTAATATTATAGTAACGACAGTTTCTAACTCTCCATGGAGGGCTAGAGTTGAAGTAACTAAATAGTGACTGAATTTAAATCGGTATTCTATAGGCAAGGCTACAATTAACTTTACATTCCCCAGTGTACTGTGGAATGAATGGAAGGTTTGCACTGGGAGTCACCTACTGCCAGCTTCTGAGCAAGATAGGCCTCTGGCTGTGTCTGCTTAACCCTCTTGAATGAGTGTTGAAAAGTCTAGCAATACCTAGAGTTTGCCTCTACTTCCCTCTATCACCCATAGCACAGGCAGAGGAAACAGAACAAAAAGGAACAAACTAGGAAAAAGGGAAGAGAAAGAGCCGTGGTGCTACCTTCAAATCATTCAGTGATGATTCCTGTGTCAGACTGCCTTACCCTTGTTTACAAGAAATGTTTATCTAACACATTAAATAAGAAAGCTAATGATAACTGCTAATTCTTTATAAGGCATCTCATTCAACATTTAGAGGCAAAACATTTGGTATAATTTGAAATTGGGAATAATCCTGGACATCTCGTTTGTCTGGGACAACATGCTCGATATTTACTAATTAGGGCACACAATATGGTGAGCATAGGCTGCTCTTGTGCAGCAGACAATTGGCACAGCCGTGTGCAGAGAAGAGAGCCTGCCAATACTGTTTTGCAGGGTCACAAAAAAATGGTAAAAACTGGAAAAAGCACTAGACTTGGAGTCAGAAAAATTCCAATCATTGCCTCTCATATGCTAGAACACTAGTAAAGTTAGTAAATGCTCAACTAATATTTGCTGAAATTATAATTACCAACACTTCTTTTTAGAAAAAGGATATTCTAATATGGAAAAAGATGCACCCTGAGTTCAAACCCATGTCACGGTTGAACCCTCTCAGTTATAATAGGAGATTATCACTAATGGCACATCTTGGTCCTCCACGGAAGAGGCAACTTTCGGGCATCAAGTGTGTTGCTGAGATTTTAAATGAAATAATGCTTGTGAGGGTATTGGTTCAGAGGCTAGAAGCTGTTTCTATAAAGTGAGCAGACAGTGATATTTCATCAGGAGGACCAGCCCTCCTGATATAAATATCATCACCTCAAATTTTTTGAAAGATAAATTTGTGTAAAAAGACATAAAAAATTAAGAGAAAAGGGAAAATTTTTCTTAACTGTAATATATTTTTATTTCTATAAAACATCTCTTAAAATAATTTAAAAATTCTATGGGTATGACACTTGTCCACATGCCATACTTTTAGAAAAAAAGCAAGAGAGCAGGCATCACTTTTATATTACTAGAGAGAATCAGCACAGAAGCTGAGGAAATTAATGGTAGCTGTGGTTCAAAAAACCATGTCTCTGTGTTCGCTGTTTATTCCTCCAGTACAAACCTGGGCAGTAGTAGCTGCATTTAATACAAGAGATGGACACAGGTGAGAGGAGGTATCAAGGATGACTTTGGGTGGTGAATGTGTGAACCAGATGGTCAACGGTTGTTTTTCTTCACCTAGAAAGCTTTCTTTCTAGAGGGCAAGGATGATCATGAGAGTCCCCCTAAGGCACACTGTAGAAATGGATTTCTTTGGGCTCAGAATGATAATTTTATTACGGAGAAGATAAATAAGCATCCTTTAATTCTAGTATTTTTCTCAAGAAACATTCACTAGCTTTTTGCCAAGTGATCAGAAATCATTATATTTAATAGAACAGTTAAGAAGAG